ATAGGCTTTTGGGGATCTACTGATGTGGCTCCCCTTTAGCTGAACACTTAAAACCTAGAGGAATATTACCACTTCTCCTAAGAATAATGTGAACATATTGGATGCATATAGATAGAAACTGAGGGAACACACACACACACACACACACACACACACACACACACACGAGACTTTTGATCACAAATAAATGCACAGCCCTAAGCGAGGTGCAGGAGCCACAGTGGGAGCAGGAGGCTCTGTTCCATGGTGAGAGTCCTACTCATTCCCTTCAAATCAGAACTCCCACCCCTTAAACATGTTCTCATTCGGCTCTGGTGTTGCAGGTAACTGGCACAATGGGAGTAAGAGACAAAGAAGCCACTGTGGAATGGGTGCTTTCTAAGAAAGACCAGGAAACCCAGGGCTGTTTCCACTGTTGGGGAGTCTTCCCTCCATACACTACATGGAAGGCATGTTAAAATCAGTCTTGATCAACCCACAGTGGCCACTACATGTGCTGGTTCTAAGAAGAAAAAATCATAGGCACGACCTCCAAGAAATAAGCAGACCTGGACTTCAAGAGCTCCTGAAGGATGTGCCTACGATGACATTGGGTTTGAAATATGTTTTCTAAAGCAACACCTGCAAGCACAAATCCATCTCTCTATGTGCCATAGGGAGTATTTATCACATGCAGCAGTGAGAACTCCGTGGGCTTTTAGTCACTCGTGGAACCATAGGCATAGGCATTTCCAGTCAAGACTACATGGGCACTTCTTCCTGACCTGCTGGGCTAGGGTGGAAAGGCAATATAAGGAAAGCAGATTAAAAGTGTAGGCTTCGAGTCAAACCAAGTTCAAACCCAACTGTCTATATTAGCTGTGTGACCCTGAGCAAGTTACCTTCTACAAGCTTCAGGTGTTCATTTTCAAAGCACAGATAGTGAAATTACCTCTCCATGGGGGGGCTTTTGAGGTAGTGATAGCAGATTCAGTTGTCACCCAAGTAAATGTTTAATAAACCTTTGTTCCTGCCACTGTTAATGGTCTGTACATATATCTCTAGAATGTTTTTCTAAAATGCCTTAAACTAACATTTTCCAGAAAAATAACAGCTTTTGCTCATTAGATCTTGTCTTAATTAGAGGTCTCAGACCTTTTCAAACACTTTCAAACACATCTTAATTAATTTATTGAGAATAGCTCCATGACTGGAAAATACATGGTCTTCAACAAGTGTTTGCTGAATGCTTGTGATTATTTCTGGGAGAACAACTCTTGGTGGTGAAGCTGGACCATATCTGCAAACACTCCGTGAGTTTGCTGCTTCTCTGATTCCTATAACAAGGAATGAGCCAGAACTTTCTTTCAACAGGTGAAATTGCTTTTCCAGACTAGTAAGCCAGAACTGCTTCCGCTCTCCCAATTATCTCCATCCTGATGTTGACACTCAGCAGAATTCCGAAACATGTCATTATTACGCAGACATCAGTAGGAGCTCAGAGGGCTCCAATTAACCAGCGTGAATTCACTGAAGCAACCCTGTCCACAAGGGAGCCCCAAATTACAGCTTTTGGCAGTGTTTCCAGCCTAAACGATCATGCAAATGTCATAGAATTATCCCTCCTTCATTAGACTGTGAACGACATGGGGTCAGGAACTCTATAGTGGCCTTTGAATCCATAGGCAGTTTTCTCACAGGCAATTCCAACACCTGCTTCCCGATTAATTAGAGTAAGTGAATAAATAACATTTAAAAAAGTCTCTCACCATCTTTTGAGATTGAAAAATGTGGACTAGAAAACAATACAGGTAGGCAAATCCACACATTTGAACAATTACGATTGATTAATGGATCAATGCCAATCTTGAAGGAAGAACTCCAGGAATTAGAGCGAAAGCCCTTTGCCTTCCATGTTCCCATCAGTAACTGGGTGGAAGGTAGAGGCAGGATTATGGCAGTGTAGGTAAGCCCAGGCGTGCCACTCTTACCTAGGAGCACACCAGGTCAGGGGCACAGCTGAGCAGGGTGTCCCCACTCCACACCAGCCCAGGCCAAAGATAGAACAATGGGCCAAAGAATTCTGTAGATTTTAACAGAAAAGTGGAAAGGTTTGGTATCCATGAGCAGACGGCTGGGCTGGAGAGGCTGGTCCGAAGGCACCAGAGACCACAGGGCTCAGAATGTGAGGTGCATGTTTCCCTGCCCACCAGTGTTCAGAAGGAGCTTATGACAATGGACTGTGGACACGAAGCAGTAAGACCACCAGCCGGCCTGCCTGCACCTCTGGGCATCTGCCCTCCACCCTGTAGACATGGAGGAGCCCAGAGCTTCTGCCTCCAGGGCATCAGGCACACCAAGTGGACTGGAGGCAGGAAGAAGGGGCTCCCACGTGTGGAATGAGAGCTCAGGGCCTCCCACTGTCCCCCCAACCCTGGCTTCCAAATACCAGCTCTCACCTGCTGGCAGGAGACTGGCAGAGCCCCTGTGTGGAGGGGATAATCCTTCAGACTGGCTCTTTGGGGATCCCTCAGTGTGCTAACCAGTTTTCTGCTCAAACACTTCAGTGAATCCCATTCCTATGTCAGCACACCACATTCACAGAAACCCACTTAATTATAAGCGATTGGCTAAGGATTGCCAGAAATTGAGGAAAGTTTCAAGTATGATAGAGGTCAAGACAGAGAAAGAAAAACAGAAGCTGGAGGAAACAACAATGCATAAAATAGAAGAAAATGAAGTCAGAAACATTGTTTAGAGATATAAAAAATAGCCTCAGAGTAAAGAGAAGACACTGTTTCCAGGAAACAAGATGTGATACTATTTAAAAAATACATAACAGGAAAGAGCTCTTAGAAATTAAAGACAGAGTCACAGAATTCCAAATATTTGAAGAATTGGACAGTAAAATAAATTTCCAAGAAAGAGGGAGAACACTTATTTTCACTTAAGCAAGAATATTCAGGAAACATTAGAAAGTTGATTGAACTAATTGGAACCGAGAGAGAAAACAGAGGGGTGAAATAATCTGAAAGGAATAATGCCAGAACATTTTGCAGGGTAAGAGGAGTAGGATTGCAGAGCCCAGAAAATGTGCCCGACAGTGGGTGAAAGAACTCCACCCCAAGGCATGCCAGCATAAGAATTCAGGGCCCCATGGAGCAAGAGCGAGGGGACCCTCACAGCTCGCAGACCACATGCTCACGGAAGCACAGTGGCAGTTTCTTCACCTGCTTTGGCTGTAAGCTTAGGCGACAGCGGCGTTATGCCTCGGGGTTTGAGACACAGTTATCTCCTGCCTAGATTTCCATAGATACCTCCTGACTGTTAAGTGTGACAGAATAAAAACAGTTGTAGATTTTCAAGTTTTCGTAAATTTACCTCACATACGTACATCTTGTCCCTGAAAGCTGATAGAGACTGTGCCCCACTAAAATGAAGAGGTGGATTTTAAAAAGGCATAGGAGCCACAATACAAGGGCTAAAAAAAATCTGAGTTAAAGGAAAGAGAATTTCCAGGAAACTCAGGAATAAAATTTAGAAAATCAGTTATCAAGTTCAGAGAAAACAAAAAGTAATCTAGAAAACATATTTTCAACATCCACAGTGTACATCTCAGCTGGAGAAAATTCCTCTGGAAGAAAATTTGTTTTACATAATTACGTGTATGGTAACTATATATGTTTACATAAAGAGTCAGTTTCATTTAAATCTTGTGCTATAATTTTTGGAAAATTGGGGAGGGGGCGTGTGTATGTGTGTCTCTGTGCATGTCTGTGTTTTCATGTGTCTCAGAACAAAGTTCTCATCTTCTGGAATAGGAAACCAATATCTAACATAGGAAAATTACAAAATAGCAGAATATAAGTAAGAAAAACAGAAAACAGTGAATGCTAAAAAATAAAAGAGTTGGAAGCGGCTGCTGCTGGGGTGTGGGTAGTAGACAAGGAACTGATTGGCCCCTAAGCTTGTGGGATGATTTGGCTCTTCTAATATCCATATTATATATAAAATTAGAATTTTAAAGGTGTAAGAAGTGGTTATAATATAGTAGAAGGACAGAAAAAATGTGACTTCAAAGAAAAACTAAGGACCAGAAAAATGTATGTCAGCAGTTAGTAGTTAATGTATTAAATAGTGATTTTTCTTCCTTTTGCATACATTATAAATTTTTTTCTGCAGTAAATGTGTATTAATGATAAAATGTTAAAATGAGACTTTTTACACACATCACGCACATAGTGTGGAACACCAGGTCCAACTCAGAAGGGGACATCGTCCTCCTTGGGAAAGGGCAGCGTGTCCCAGTTCTGGCATCCGTTCTGTGAGCCTGAGCTGATAAACCAAGGGCCCCAAGACTAGAAGTGGGTGGGGCTGGGAGGCAGATTGCACTTTGAACCAGCAGGCCTGCCCATTATCGACGGGTCAGAAGCTGTGCATTTGTTATCGTTAAAGTCTTTGACAGGAGTTGGGTTTCTGTGTGGATGGAAGCTTGATGTCCCATATGCAGACCTAATGTCCCCCAGGGAACAAATGTCGTTGTGTTTCCAGTCGGTGGTGAGCCTGTGGATGGTCAGCCCTGGCTGCTCGGGACCGTGCAGAGGCAGGGGGAGCCTGTGGGGTTGGGGCGAAGGTGTGGCACATGATGCGATCTGTGTGGGCACAGATGGTGGCCTTGGGAAAAGTTTCTGGCAAGAATGGCTTTTACATTTAATTAAGGCCTAAGAACCGCTTCTCATCTTTGTGCTGAGGGGCAGTTACCCAGTATCCTGATTTGCCTGAAGTCCGTAGGAATTAGAGGGCAGAGCCCCAGCTACCCTGCACAGAGGTCTTGGACATGTCTGTGGGCAACCCTGGGCCACACCACTGCCACCCCGGGCAGCACAGCCAGCCCTCACAGCACAGTCCCACACCTGCTCTGGGAGCCAGAGCTGCCCCCTCCAACTGGGTGTCCCACGTGCATGCTGTCCCCAACACAACCCCCCGCACACTGACTGCCTGTGCTTCCTTGTGCTTCTTAGGTATCCCTGGGCTCACAGATAGATCTGCAGAAAAAGAAGAGGCGGGCACCAGCACCCCCACCGCTGCAGCCACCGCCCCCCAGCCCCGTGGTGCCTGCACGCATAGACGACAAGGAGGAGCACAGGAAGAGCGGGGCGGGTGAGTGACACGCTGCTCTGCCCCCTGGGCTGCTGGCCTGCGCCTGAGCTCCAATGCTGCCACTAACTCTCACTGTGGCCTCCGCCAGTGTAGCATTAACTCGGGAAATATTATGCTAAAGAAAGAAAGTCTGGAAATAAGCAGTTACAAGTTCACTTACTGTCCCACAGACATACTTGCTGAGAGTGGTGTGGGCATGTGGAAGGGGTGTGGTGGGTAAGGTGGAGAGTGGCTGCAGGCACTCAGAAGAGGGTGACAGAGGAGAGTGAGTGAGTGTGGGTGTGCGACGTGGGTCTCCCTGATGGGAAGAGGGAAGTTCCTAGGATGGGTGCTGTTTTGAAGGATGTCTAGACCTCGGGAGATTTAGAGATCTGTGGACAACAGTTCAGTAATATTTTGGAATTGATGGTCACTTTTATAGGTTTTATATATGTAGCAAAGACCCTGATATTTGAGAATAAGCCATCCCAAAGGGAGGAGGGTGGAGCCATAATACTAGTGAGAGGAGACCTGTTAGGTCACCATGGGTCACCCCCTCCTGCTACGGGGCAAGTGGAGGACGTGACAGATGTCTCTAGGTCCATCAGATGGGGTGATTAATCTTATTTTAAAATCATTCTGTTTGTAATTTCATTTATGGAGGAACGGGAACAGCTCTTAGGTAGCAGAGTTTCCTGCGACAGCCCCCCAGGATGCTCAGTCCATCAGGGAAGCCCTCTGAGGGCCACTCCCATGCCGTTTAGTATGTCAGGCACCCCACGTTCTGCCTTTGACCTGATGGCTACAGTTCCCAAAGGGGGGACTAAAAGACGCCTAAGGACAAGTGGCTGCTTCGTCAGTGTCTGAAACTTTAACGTGAGCCACGTGGCTGTTTGTCAGCATTTTCCCCCTGGTCAGTACCTCACTTTGTGTCTCAGCATTTCACAGCCTGAAAATCCATTATCCTAAGGAGCGGTAGCTATATTTCATGCCGGTTCAGCCTCTTTCCCACAGGAAAACACTATCAAACTTGAGAACAATTGTAGCTTATTAAGATAACCTAGTTATCTCCTTTTTCACAATGACAGCCCTGTTCTTCCTCCCTAGCTCTCACCCCCTCTTCATAAAGGGATGACAGCCCTCGGGTTTAGAGCTCCTCATTGCAGTTCCAGGTTAAGTGATGATGTGGATTTTGTTGAGTTGTACCAACTTCCTGTCCAGACAACCTGTTTCAACCCAAGGAAGGACCTCCTGATTCAGCCTTGAAGGACTGAGGCCTTGTGCCTGACATACTTGGGTGTGGGCAGCCAGCCAGTGCCCACAGGTGTTGCAGGAGAAGTGGGGGTGGGGTTGTTTTAAAATTGAAACCATAGGGAAGATGTCCCTGCTGAGGATCATTGCCAAGGAGGAGGTATAGATGGTAGCGATTCACTACAAGTCTCTCTCTCTGGTCCATAAACTTTTGTTTGTGAGGATTGAGAAGGAAGCCAGAAGCTGTCTTCTACTGGAATATAGCCTTATTTCAGAGGGATGATGTCAGAGGGATGGCAGAGAACGTGACAATTTCAAGTCCGACTTCCATCCCCCTCAAAAATCCCATGAATTAACTGCACATGTCAGCACTGTAAGCAGAACTTTAAACCCCAGTCTATGTTAAAAGATAAAAATAAAAAAGCAGCAATGCTGCCACCACCACCACCACCACCACCAACCCAGTATCTTTTTCTGGTTGGATACCTAGACATAAAAAGAACCGAAAGGCTTTGGAACTTGCACTGAAATAGCATTAGAACCAGCTGGATTTGGGTCTGACCCAGATTCCTTGGACAGAAACGAGCCTCCCAGGAGAAGCCTGTTCTTCCTACATGTCTTGCCATGGTGATGCCCTCCTGTGTGTGACATTTACCTGGGCCGGACAAATACTCATCCACACTGCTTTTGGCTTTGAGGAAGCAAATGAGGCATACATGTGAGGAAATGAGTATTTCCATCTAAAAAACTCCATGTCCATCTAAAAAACTGCAATCAAGAGAAGGAGTAAATGGATATAGCTCTTGATGAAGAACTGATGTTTCTTCATATTTTTATTAATAATCTGATGAAGGGCATGAAGCACAGAATCTGTTACAGAAGATTGTAGCCCTTAAAGCTTAAAGGAAGTATTTTAAAAGCAGTAAGAGTGAGCATGACATATGACATAATAATTCATCATTTATTATATTAAGCCTTTGACCTTCAAAAATTTTATTAACAGAAGAAAGTCATTTTCATATAAAATTCTAAATGGATCCCCACATTTAGGCAAATAAAACAAGGCAGTTCTGATGGTCTGAGGGTCAGATGCAGTGAGGAATCCCACCCCTAACTCTTTCTTCAGCTCAGGACCCCCTTCTCAGCCAAGTCTGAAAACTGTTCCCTGGAAGAGTGGAAGAGGTTGATAGTGTCACTGGGCTTGAAGAGGCAAGCTAAGTTCCACAGCAGGTGACAGATGCAAGCTAGAAGCCATGCCTGTGAACCTGAGAAATGACGAACTTGAATAAAAGGAGCTTTTTACTTGACAGAGCTGTGAAGGGGCTTTTATAAATAATTTCTAGGCCAGCATTTCAGGTCATTGTGCCTGCCCAAACCAAATTGCAAACGAGTCGATATTTCCATACTGGCCTGAGGGTAGGACACCGTGTGTGCAAAATGTTAAAAGCGTGAGTGAGGTTTACACTTGGTGCCCTGAGGTTGAATTTGGTAATGACTGTGGTTGGATTTGGTGCTGAGTGAGGTTGGATTTGGTGCCAGGTGTGGCTGAGTTTGGTGCCTTGAGGTTGTTCTTGGTATATGGGTAAGTGACAGTGACGTGCCCTCTGTTGAAGGCAGAGTGTCTCTGGGCTTAAATGAACCATCTGAAGTAATCCCCGTTGATTCCATGTAGGTGTCGGACGGCAGGTGCCACAAAAGCCCCCCAGAGGCTCTGCTCGGGGGCCCCCCCAGTTAGTGCTCCCCCCGCCCCCGCCCTACCCTCCTCCCGACATGGACGTGGCAGAGCCCCTCAGCTTTCCCGGGCAGAACGCTGGTCCCGAGGCCTCCGACCTGACACCCACACGTACGTGCCTCTTGTCTTCCCCACTCTGTGTTGACCTCTGACTCTCTGGTCACTGGTGTAAGGGCTGTTTCCAGACTTTCCATTCTTGCTTTGGGGTGTTTGTGACTTTCTTCTCCAGCTTTTCTCTCCAAATGCTCAATGCAGCATGTCTGATTTAACAATGAATGCACTCCAAATGCCATGCAGGTACCATAAGGAATGATCTGACCCATTAATCATTCATGTTGCGGTTAGACTTGAGCCAAAATTGTACTGGGTGGGTGGAGACAGTCAGCTAGGAGCGAATTTTCCTCAAATTAGAACTAACCCTGGAATGTCTGCAGATCGCAGTGGTAGCTCGGCACCGCCCACAGGCCTGGGGTGTTGTTGGGAAGCCCCCTCCGGCCAGCTCTCAGGGCAAACGAGCCGGTTGAAGGGCTGGGAGGACTTGAGAATGAGGACCTTTGAACCATTTGGTCAGCGGCCAAGCACTAGTATTGCTACTTTGTGAACAGGGAAACAGGCACCACCAGATGGGGAAGCAGCTTGATCTGAGTCTAGGAATTGCCAGAATTAAAATCTCATTTTGTTTCTTTTTCTTGTCACAGCCTGTCTGAGGTCAGGCTTCCTTCATTGTTTCCTGGAGTTTCTTTTGGGCTTTAGTAAGCACTATGTATAGCATTCCTGCATCCAGACAGAGCAGTTCTACGTATTTAACTATGTATATTCGGATGGCATCATCTGTATGTCACGCCTGCACTCACCCCCACTTAGGACACCTCAGCTGTGCAGTGGCAGAGACTCCATTACAAGGCAGCCACAATCCCCCACTGCATTTGCCGAACAGTGAAATGTTACTGCACTCGGCCCCGTAAGCAGCTGGCACACACCTGAGCATGGGCAGCCTTCTGGTGAGGAAGTTCACACGTTTCCACCAGTGGACCACTTTCTGTCTCCCTTGGAAATGAAGACAATCTCACTGCCAGCTTCTGGGTAACAAAGATAGTTGTTAGATGGATTACTACCTACTTTTCTGGGCAAGATAATCCTGATTCATTTTATCTTTCTTTAGGAATGCCTCTTTTCCATCCTTAACATTTCTTTTACATTTTTACATTTCTTCCTTTTACATTTGATCATCTTGATGTTCGACATGCCTCTAAATACAAATGCATTTTTACAGGGTGTTCAGAACTTAAGGATTAGGTACATCAGTCAGAAAGATGGCAGCCAAGGGTTACCGATGGAACCATTACATCTCTGAAGAGAGGGCGTACTAAGTCCCACGTGCCAAGGGGTGAGCTTTCAGTGGCTGCTCTGGTGGCTGCTGCTCTCTTCTGCGGATTCTCATGCTGGGGAACAGGTGAGGGAGGACCGCTCAGTGAAAGTGGTGAAGCCAGGTGCAGCCCCCTGGCAGTGGGGGAACGGCCTTGTGGGACCTACACAGGGTGGGCAAGCAGACCTCATGCGCTTTCCCACACCTGACTGTGTGCAGACTGCAGGTGCCCACTTCCTCCTGGGCCTCCAGGGTCAGGGGGTCACTGTACACCTGTGGCATCTGCTGGGGAGACCAGTGGACGAGATTTGGGGGTTGCTCACAAAAGCCTTGAGGAGAAAGGCTTCCTCCCAGGTCTCTGTGGTGCAGGGGAAGTGGTTCCCACCCCAGCCCCCAGTAACTCTTAAAAAGAAAGTTACTCAAAAAGTAGAGAATGGAACCATGCAAAGGACAAAAGACGAGACTCACTTTCCTCTTGCATCACGGGCCCATTGCCCCTCCTATGCACAGTATTAGTTTCCACCATGTGTCCCTTTCCCCAGGTACACGTCACTGGGGCCTCCTCTGCCCTCTGGTCATGTTCCCCTTCCCATCTCACATGCCCACAGACATGCCAGTAACAGTTAAGTAAAGAGGAGAGGTGGGTAAACAGGGTGGAGGCCTGTGAGGTGCAAGGATTACTGCGCGGCCCTGGCCCCCCTCAGCACCTAGCCTGGCACACAGGCCACAGGGCTCAAGTGTTTCTCCCTCCTTCTGCTCCCTGCTCCTCTCTCGTGGCTGCTTGTGCCCCAGAAGGTAATGCATCCAACTGGGGCCTTTATTTCACCAAATTAACTGACTCTCCTGACCATTGTTTACAGCATTACAAACTGGGGTCTCCTGCCCAACGATGTGGCAAGCGGCTTGCCTTCTTTGATTGAGGACTGGAACAGTTATCCCTTGTCATTTGTTTCAGTTTTTCCCATAATGTTGAAGCATGGGTACTACCTCCCCTGTCTCAGGGAGCTGCAGATTCTTGGCACATGAATGCCGGATGGTCATTTCTGCCTCTGGTTGGCACATAACATCTCGCCTGCACTTCTACTCCAACTTCTGGCTATTTGTAGCTGTGTAGATGCTCAGTAGGGGCATTTTTATGCCAGCCGCCAGCTCTTGTATCTCTTCTCTTGAGTTTAGATCTGTGCTCCTTGTAAATGGTGTTTCCTGGTGGAAACTAACTCTGAGTCCATAGTAGGCATCTTACCCATAATATCTCCCTCAGCCCACACTGCAGTAACAGGGTAGGTTCTATCAATAGGTAGAAACTGAGCCAAAAGAATTCACGTCAATGGCCCAAGGTGTCGGCCACCACAGATCAGGGACAGCAGGAATTGTCATTGTGGCATCTTTACTGTCGTCACGCCGCACCCCGTCCCATGCCAGAAACACCCACAGGATGGACACCTTTGGCTTTGCACAGTCACTCTGATTTTTATACCAGATGGTTTATTCCACTGAGGTTGTTAAAGAGAGGAAAGGTCCATTTTCTTGAAACCACTAAGCACAGCCAAACTCCTTAAGGTAAAAGGAATTGAACAGCTACCAGATGGCAGATTTGTACACAGATGGAGAGATGGAGAAGGCCGTAAGACGACATGAGGTAAGCCCTCCACACCACCACCTGTGCTCTGCGTCTCTCCCACGTCAGAGCTTCCCATTCCAGCCACTTCCTGTCCCCAGTCCTGGCCTCTGGAGGGTCTTGCTGCAGTCCCAGTCCTGATGGTGGAGCTGTAGACCCCTTACTAGAAGGAGTCCCCCCAGCCTTTACTAGCATCCTGAGAACTAGCTAGGCCCCAGGTCCTTAGCCCAAGGACGAGTGCCTTAGTTCCCATTTCATGCTTAAAATCTTACCAGTATTTGACACATGTTCATTAAAACGTTTACCTGCAACAAAAACAAAATGGAGAAGCCCATGTTTTCTAGGCCACATTTCTGTGGGACTACTGAGCTCTCTTTGAACCTCTGCATGGTTTGTAGTCAGAGGAGAGAGAGTGACCATCTGCTAACATGTTTATTTGGCTCTGAGAGGCCACCTGTGCCCAGCCTGTGCCCCAGCTGGCCCGGGTGCACCCAGTATATATCAAATGAATGTGCGTACTCTCATATCCCAGCCGCAGTCAGCGGGGTGAGTGCCCTGTGCACCCCCTGCTGCCATCTCTGGAGCCTGTCTTTGGCAGGCCTACCACTCCTTCTAGTCCAAAGTCCGCTTCCCATCCTCTAAGGGTTAACCTTTATTCACCATCCTGCATTATACACACCTGCACGTGCCACTCCACTAATTCAAGCCAAATGGAGGCTCTCATGGTCTTAGTCATAGTTGTATCCATTCTTCAACACACAGCATATATTCAGTAAAGGATTATACCAGAGTTGTCTCACTGAATTATAAGTATCAGATTATAATGATACATGATATTCAAGTCAGCTTCATTTAACTGAGATGTTTCCAGGTTGGAGATGGTACCAGCTTAGGTCTGTCTACAGGATACTCTGAATAGAGCCAGCATTGTGTCAGTGACCTGTACAGTGTCATGCTTGGGGAAGGTAGTATTCAGCACCCCAACCTTTGCTTCTCTCCTCTTTAGCTTTTTCCTAGTCTGTCCTATCCGAATGATGCCTTCAGTTGTGTGGTGGGTACTGCTAACATGGCCCCCAGTGGTCCCCACCTCCTGTGTTCTGCCCCTTGCATAACCCTCTTCCCTTGAACCTAGCCTGGATTTAATGACTCACATCTAATAGAAAATAGCAGAAGTAGCGGATGTCCCTTGTCACTTCTGAGATTAGGTTAAAACAGCTGTGACTTCCCTCTTGGGCGCTCTCACTCACTGTGAGGAACTGGCAGCTCACTGAGAACCACATCATGGGGAGAGCCACATGGCAAGGAGCCGAGCCAGCCTCTAGCCCACGGCCAGTGAGGAGTGGGGGCCCTTGGCTCCCGGCTGCAAGAGCTGCATCCTGCCAGCAGCCGCCAGCAGGAGCCTGGAGGCAGAGCCCCCTGCGGTCCAGTGCTCGTCTGAGTCCACATCCCTGATGGGCAGCTCAACTGCAGCCTTGTGAGAGGCCTTGGGTCAGAAGCAGCTAAGCTGTGCCCGGCTTCCAGGCCCCCAGGAACTGTGAGGTAATAAATACTTATTCTTTGAAGTCTCTAAGTTTTGAGGTAATTTGTTCTGTAGCAATAGATAACATATAAGGTGCAAGTAAGAAAACCCATGTCAAGCCTACTTAAAGGGTTAGGGACTCTGTTACCTCATGGAACAGGAATCCCAAAGTGGGACAGGCTCAGAGTGAGTTGGATCTGCAGCCTGCAGTTGTCATGGAGGCTAGAGGATCTGTCAGTATCTTCCCTGTACCACCTCTGGGGCTGACCTCCTCCATGGACTGGTATTGAGGGGGCTGTGGCTGATTCATGCATCACATCTACACTCCAGAATTTCCAAAGGAAGAAGAGCGACTTCTCTTCTAATAGTTCCATAGGAAAAGGACACCTTTCCCAGAACCCTCAGCTGCACAGTTTCGATCATGTCTCATTGACCATATTTGGGCAGTACACGGCCCCAGTCCCTGGTAAGAATGGAATCACCTCTGAGAATCAGGCCCATCCTGAGAGCTGGGGAACAGGCACAGCATTCCCTAGGGTGTACGGCATGGCTGCTCAACACTGGAGCTCTTGTGATTGGAGATGTGGGGAATGCACACTACCATCGGT